CAGCACAAGGATGAAGGGTGGTGTGAAGGCCATTGTGGAGTGCGGAGGGTTCTCATAAAGGCCGCTTTAAAAAAAAGGGCACACCGTACCACATATTGTGACAGTGAAGGCGTGATTTAAGGATATAGGAAATGTAAATAGGCCGTGGCAGAATAGGAGATACCATAACCGTTTAGCACAGGTTTGGTCAAAGGATCGGCTTCACTTGTCTCTTTGAGAACGGGAGATATCATAACTGTTTAGCACACATTTGGTCAATGGATCGGCTTCACTTGTCTCTTTGACGGTTGTAACATGTTGCTACGACTGGTAAAACTCACTGACGATGCCGGCGAAACGTCTGGGAATGTACCGCGTCCACGGTCCGATTAATATTGTGCTACGAATGGTAAAACTCACTGACGATGCCGACGAAACGTCTGGGAATGTACCGCGTTCTTGGTCCGACTTTGAAAATAATTATGCATACAATGGACTCAGGACAAGGTGTTTCCTATTAGTCTTCCTACCAATATGACCATGTTGCGAAAACAAGGTGAAACAATTTCTATACAACAGGAGACTGCGACCACAAAAAAGGCCACACCATCTTGGTCTTATACTTTCGATTAATTCGCAAAATTTGGTTTAAAAAAGACCTATAAAACATAAATTCACCTTATGAAACTGGGAAAATACAATACTGCAGTTATAAAGTTATAACTTAAAAATAAAACATCCGTTTAGAATAATCGAGCATTTCGAAATACGGATTAAAGATGTATATAAACTTAATAAAAAGAGAAAAAGCCAAGCCTGGTGTTTTCCACATATAATCCTTGGGGAAGAATCGAAGGAGCAAACCTCGACGGAAAGGCTAGATAAAGTTAGCATAATCTAATGACTACGGGCTCGGTTACAAGAAAGAAATAATAAATAACTCGGATCTATTATGTTGAAAATGGCATTAGCTATGAAGATAGGTAAATGAATTACCATATTAAAAATACATATAAGATATAAAAAAGAAGAAAAATAATGTGGTACTTAATAGAACAACGAACCTGAGTGGCAGGCATCCGAAACTATATCAATGAGTTTTGTAACAAGCTGATGGTTGTATCCTAGGCTCTTGCCCTCCGCATCCTCCCTAAAGGTAAGAAATGCTAGTCGAAGAGTACCTTGGTCGAGGCCTGGGCTAGTGCCCATTGTTGTGAGAAGGATGAGAGCAAAAAGTGTGTCGTAATCGTTGCCCAAGCCAACCTCGAGTGCCCGAAAAATGGCGCGCATGAACGGCCGGCTGTGCAAACTAAACACAGTGGAGGAAGTTTGAACTGAGACATCAGTACAGGCTAAGCTGGCTTGTTGATCGGACTGAGTGAATGAGATCAAGCTGAGTGTTCCAGGCGAGATCGGGGGGTGAAGTTGAACTTGATTCAAGTTAAGGCATAAACAGCAATTGAAAATTACATTAAGACATAAGACATCAGGAAGACAGTTAAAGAGGGAAATATAAAGTCAAGAATGAATAGTAAGATCTAAAAAACGTGGGCAAATAAATAGG